AGTTATATAATATACCCTTATGGGCCAGGGTAATCTTGCACTGGTTTTCAGGAGAACCAGACACCAGCCAGACTTTCACGCGGCAACTCGAACAGTACAGCTTAATTCCGCTTAACAGGAGAGCCAGACACTGCTCAGGCTTAACCCAAGCAGTACAGCTCAATCCCGCTCTATAGGAGAACCAGACACTATATAGGCTTCAATCCTGTGGCGCAACTACTCAGGTACCAAACACTCTGGTTGACCAATATCTTATATTGGTGTAAATTAATTCATGAGAGAAGTAATATCGCCTTTTATATAATCAGTCGAAAAGACTTGTATTTTAACGAATTATTAAATTAAGAATTATCACCCCCCCACACAAACACACTAAATGTCATCAAAAATTGGGGAACGAATTTTCTGTTCCAACAGAAACTAGAATTTCAGATAACTGATTGAAACATTGTTCAGTAGCATAGACACATATATGATCAGGAGCCATCTTAAAATTCAAATACGAGTTGCTATACACATCCTTGAATGATTGAAAAAGTAAATCCATTCGCAGGATTTAATAGTTTCTCTTGAATAAAAACAACCATTGAATTGGAATAATATCCATTTCTTAAAATGGGACAAAGATGATTCGAAGACAATTTATGCTTTGAGAAATCAATTACATTTGATCAAACACTGAAGTATTTTGAAGAAAATAATACATTATGTTGTCTGTAAGTGAAATAGGTGTGAGCGGCAGTATATGAGTATTGGGGTGATCCAGAAAACTTCTCGTAAAAGACAGGGAAGGCTCTGGAAACATGAAGAAGTATTTTATCCAATCAGTGTTCACTAAACGTTTTGCCAGAAACACCACCATCCAGAAGATACAAGTGTTTATTAACAGTTGTCTATGTAAAATACTTCGGATCCGTTGGTCAGACACTATCAGCAACATTCTACTGTGGGAGAGAACATACCAGATTTCAGTGGAGGAAGAAAAGCTGAAAATGGATAAGACACACATTGAGGAAAGCAGCCAACTGTGTCACAAGACAAGGCCTCACATGGAATCCTTAAGGCCAAAGTAGAAGTGGAAGACCAAAGAACACATTTCGGTGAGAAATGGAAACAGACATGAGAAGAATGAAGAAGAATTGTATAGAAGTAGAAAGGAATGCCCAGAACGGGGTGGGTCGGAAAATGCTGGTTGGCGGCCTATGCTCCATTTGGAGTAACAGGCGTAAGTAAGTAAGTTGCTATGTTTAGTAGTATTCCAGAATTTTCGTGGAAAACCAAGGACTTCTAAAATATGATTAAAAAACCCTATATTTTTTGTACATGAATGAACCTTCGGAATAAAGTGTTCCTCGCATATTGTGCGCCGTTTCTCTCGTGTTCAAGTGGCTGTGTAGATTTAGCTTGAGGCTCACAAAAATAGCTTAGGAACCGAGTACAGCGTTTATTTAGTAGGACGTATCAATAAGTTTGATTGTAAGGTCTTGAACTATTTGTTTTTGTCAATGACTTATCCAGATCAAACAATCATTCTTGTTTTCGTTGTGTTATGCATATTCTGTATATAAGTGTGATTCTTTTTTAAATAAAATAAATCACTATTCGCTAGTTAGTTGTTTTGTCTTCTGATATCGTTGTATTAGGCACACAGATCAGTTGTTCAAATCGATGTTTAATAGTCATCAGGAAATGATCAAATCAGACTGTCAATCAAGTTCAACACACATAGAAGTTAATTTTCTCACTGACTATCTCACAATAGTCCCAAATTACTGTTAAAGTCAATTTATACTATAAAGTTTCATCAGATTCATTCAAAATAGATATGAAATATTTTTTTATATTTAGACTATGTGTAGTCAAAGTATGTTGTGTTTTGACCTAGCCGTCGCCAATTGTTATGTCTTGGTCAATGTTGTTGCTAATTTTTATGACTTGCTCATGGTCGTCAATTTGTTATGGCCTTACAAATTAAACAAGAACGTAACTCGCGTGAATTATCCGCCAATAGAATACGACTTCTTTGACCTTAACACGGTGACAATCAAGGACGTCTAATCAGTATGAGTAGTCTCGCGTCCTTATTGGTCCTTAATCCGCCTAACCCGTCCACTTGAGTCCAGAAGGCCAATAGCAGCTTCTGCTATGCGAATTGTTTATTTCAAGCATACTTTGTTTATATACCAGACAGGCTGACCATATCACACCATAGAATAGGAAATAATATTTGTGCAAAACCAAGCCAAATGCGGCTGGGAGCGTGGAAGACAACAATCAATAAACTGAGTATAACGTAGGAACAGTAAATCATATAATAATCAATAGGTCAAAATAAAGCTTGCAATAAGATGAATATAGATATAGATAATCTAGTTACTGAATAGTTATACAATAGGAATATACATAGAATAATAGTCCCATAATAGGTCCCGTAAGTTATCCGTACTTACTTCTTCAATAGTATATAACAAAGTATGAACCACGTTTTCTGAAGATTCTTTAGTCACATGGTCGATTCGTATTATTCAGGGTAATAATGTCTTCATCTCTAGTTTTAGCTACGATCTCACTTTTAGACTATGAAATGCCTGCTAGTAATGAATCATTTGGATAATAATTTGTAATGTACAAACGTAGTTGAAATCATGAGTCAATTGAAGCTAGACCATCATGGGAAACCTGCGAGCACTGGACGGCCAACTCATCCTATTATGGGACTCCTCAGCAGTGAGCATCCGCCACCCCGCACTTGCGACATTTGAACCCAGGACCTACCACTCTCGCGCCAGAGCAGTTAACCTCTAGACCACTGAGCTGGTCATCATCCAACGGTGTTAACGTCTAACTCCAACCTATCCACGATCTTTTTGAGCAACGGTTCATCAATTGTCTTCAGTGAGTTGATATCTATACAACAGACTTGGTTGAATATATTTCATCTTGTTGAAGATGTTATAAAACTAATAGGCTCGACAAGTATGAAACAAACCATCTATTATTATAGCTTTCTTACTGCTAATTTTTAATATTACTAAATTAGTGTTTATGTTTATGCAATAGATATCATCTCTTCATCCAAATGCTTCCTAAGTCTCACCATCTACTGGTGGTGACTTTGTTGACAACTCGGAGGAATTTCATATTCCACTTTCATAATGTTGTCTGTTTGGTTGTTTAATGCTTCAATGCATTCGTTTCAGCTTGACAACCACTAGGTAGTGATTTGAGGTTAATCTGAGTTATTCTCTTTGTCCGATTATTATATTTATTTGGGTGTCTGGAAAGAAAATTCATTAAAGAAAAAAAACATGGATAAAGATTTTGTTTTTTAAACAAAGTTGATTTCAAGTCAACAGAATCGACAATCAAAATGAGTTAGTTGTCCATAATCTCTGAATTTAAGACGGAAGTACACCTACCTTTTTGAATGGTTTTAATTACCTTCGAAACTGTTAGAGAGCATAAATGAAAAGAAAACAAGATATTCTGTTATGAAAAAGAAAAACAGACCGGACACATTAGATTGGTCGTCAACAATCGGAAAACCGTATAAAACATAAGTTGTTTACCAACATACATAACAGATATGATTATTAATTTATTGATTAGAACAGTTTTCATTTTGACATCATGTAATATTGTTTAATCTACATCATTCTGTGGTTCACCACCATCAGTGAAATTGGTAGACAACATATAATTGATTATTATTGATTTTTTTAATTTAAATTTCAGGATCATACAATACCTTTACATCCTGATAATGTTGAACGGCGGAATACGCCTCCAAAAAGATTGAAATTTTATCCATATTTTACTTCACACTTCTACCAATTGCAAGATCATGAAAAACTCTTTGTAAGAAAGATAAAGGTTTACTTAGTACAGTGTCTTTTTTTTGTTATTTCTATGAGCGATAGTTTTTTCAGTTCTTTACTGAATATTTATTTATGTAAACATATAAATATTGGTACAAAGGGGCACCATATACGTATGTGCCACACAACTAAATGAAGTGACATTTTGTTGTGTGAGAGCTATGATACTTCCCGGGTGCCCAAACCGAAGCAGATGGTTTTCTCAGGGGACCACACCTGGAGCCTTTGACCTACAGGTTTGATCTACAAAGTAGTGGAGCATCGTGAGGAGATGCAGTTTCATGGTAGTCGTTGACCAGCCATGGGTTCATACGCCATTTGTTCCATCAGGATACTGAAGCCGATGTGTACCATTGGTTTGGAATCAAGGTTTTCCAACTCTCCTAGGTGTACTTTCCGTGTTCACCAATCCCGTTAAAGCATTGGACATTAGCTTTTCGTCCTCTCGATTTCATACACAACAGTAATGGCACGAGAAGGCAGTGGGTAGGACTCCTCTGGTAAAGGCTGTATACGTGTGGCCGTGTGAGAGCATTTCGAGAGAGGGTGCCCTCCCCCGCACTCTCGACCGTACTAGGGTATTCGGTGGCCATATTAGTAATATAATAGACATTTATGACAGCACTTTAATGAATACTATTCATACATTTTTATTTTGGAAAATACACTTATACACTATAATAATGTAATAATTTATTTGTGTTATTTCACAATTTTATAGAAATTTACACTATATGCAATTAAGTTTTGGGAAGAAGCTTTGACAGTTAAGAAACCTGGAAGTGGAAAACAACTAGCCAAAAGGTGAATGCACTGTTAGCTTACTTTTCTTTCAATAATGTAATCATTAACATTCTTGTTATATTACGTTTCTGATAAGGGAGGTGTACGTTGGTAGAGTTTTTTTCCAGACATAATTATCTTAATGTTTCAAGGTATCTTGTCAAGTAACTTGAATAATTCACTATTCTAAATTGAAACTTAATAGATAGATTTCTTTTATTCCTAATTAAAACAACATTCTTATTTCTCCCATCAAGGTATTGCGAAAGCGAATACTACTACCAAGCTTATGGGAATAATTCCATATGCTGTCGTCAGTCGAATTGCCAACGCTATGTTATGTGCGGAGGTGTGAAAATTCCAGATAAGTATGTCGGGGTAAGTATGAATATAGGCGTAATATATCTATCATCATAAACATAGTTGATATTCAGGATGCAACAACGAGATAATGTATAAGTGATTGAAGATGTAAAATACAGAATACTCAGCTGTGCGATTCACCGATTTATCTAACGGGATTCGAACCCAGGATCATCGGTCTCGAGCATAAGCACTTATCCTCTAGGCCACTAAGCCGGAATGAAGATGGAAACAACATTGAAATCAAATCTCTTTAAATATATATATTTGTATATTATCAAATCATAATTACAAACACTATTCCTCAAAATTCAGTGTATGGTTTCAGTGATTATATGCTTGTTAGTAAGTTCAGTGCTTAATATTAGGTCACTAAACTTTGTTCACTACAGTTGTTAACTGATATAATAATTATCAGAAGGGGGTTTTGTAAAGATTTTATTAATCTTATATAGTTGAGATCATGAGTCAATTGAAGCTAGACCACCATGGAAAACCTGGAAGCACTGGAAGGCCGTTTCGTCGTATTATGGGACTTCTCACCAGTGAGCATCCACGATGTCGCCGCAGTAAACAGTATAGTTCAACTCACTGAAGACATTGGTGAATGTTTGGTCGATTTCCTGGATTAGTTGAAGTTATACATTAACACTGTTGGATGCCGACCAGTTCAGTGGTCTAGAGGTTAAGTGCTCTGGCATGAGACTGGTAGGTCCTGAGTTCTAATCTCGAGGGGTGGGATCGTGGACGCTCACTGCTGGGGAGTCCCACTATAGGACGAGTTGGCCGTTCAGTGTTTTCAGGTTTTCCATGATGGTCTAGCTTCAATTGACTGGTGATCTCAACTATATGATATAATAAATATTATTATTTTATTGTTTGTATTCAAAATATTACGATTTAATAATTCTATTGTGGTTATATTTTAGGAATGTTGTCAAGAATATAATCACAGATTATATAGATATTGCAATAATGGAAGTGGAATACCATCTGCTGGTTATGTTCTACTTGTTGATGCCTTGAATACACAACTTTGTTCTGGTAGTACAGCAGCATATGCATCATCATGTTTAATGGATGAAGAAACAGATAGGTAATCAGATATGTTTATTAAAGTATATTCTTCTTAATTGAATAGCAATTCATAATCAGATAGCATGCAGTGCCGTTCTTCGTTAATCGTTCACCTTGATAACCCTTATAATACCAATCTTAACAGTGAGTAAAATCAGAAGGCAAAGAGAAGCAGCAACTACAGTTTATTGCAAAATAACTCAGACGAGAAAGCTACCATCATGTGAGCAAATATCGACGAGCGAGCGAGCAGTAAGCAATTAGATAGACAATTTACAGTCAAACTGTATAAGGACGCAGCAAGACAAAACAAAAGCTAATAATAGGATTTGAGTGCACACATATATGGGGAGAAGGATGAATCATTGAATGATATTTAAGTAATCAACATTGTGGCTAGAGTGTGCCATGTGCTCTCGTGATCATAACAGTATAAAGAAAGATGAGAATTGTCTGTTGAGTAACTTAATAAAAGGGCTTAACCAAAATCAACCATAATCGAAATTGGTTGTAGGATGGTCGCTATAACCATTATTTGACATTCTTTTGAAATCATTCGCTTTCATTTGCATACTTCAGAGGCAAATGTTTTTGAACTATACTACTTCCAAGTCAAATTTTTACGGTAATATTATGAAAGTTAATGAGTTGCTTTATAATTTCATCCATTAACTAGTTGTTGTTTATTATTCTGTCTGTATTGAAATACATGTAAGTTCAAAGTAGACATGTATTATGTTTACAATTACTTACTTACTTACTTACTTACGCTTGTTACTCCCAATGGAGCATGGACCGCAGACAAGCATTCTCCACCCAATCCGTCATCGGCGTTCCTCTCTAGTTTTATCCAACTTTTGTTCATTCTTCTCATATCTGTCTCCATTTCTCGGCGTAATGTGTTCTTTGATCTTCCTCTTCTCTTTTGACCTTCAGGATTCCATGTCGGTGCTTGCCTTGTGGCGCAGTTGGTTGCTTTCCTCAATGTGTGTCCTATCCACTTCTACCGCTTCTTCTTAGTTTCTTCCTCCTCTGAGATCTGATTTGTTTTCTTCCACAGTAGGTTAATGTTGATAGTGTCTGGCCAACGGATCCGCCCCATACAGAAAAACTGTCTAGACATTTGCATTGATCTTGGTGTTGGTTGACAATTGTTTTGAGTTCCATATGTTCTTCAGTTGTAAATATGCCGCTGTTGCTTTGCCGATCCGCTTTTTCACATCTGCATCAGATCCACCATGTTCATCAATGATGCTGTCCAGATTTTTTCACATCCTCCAAAGCTTCTCCGTCAAGTGTTCCTCGATTGGTACATTCTGTGTTGTATCGGAGAATCTTGCTTTTACATCTACTTCTCCAGTAATAAAATATAGCAGAGATGAATGGTGACTAGCAGTGAAATCCAGGACGCGTTTTTTTTTCATTTGGGATTCCTCAACTGGATGTATCTGCTTTATTTAGGTGATATTCATTCTGGGAATCAAACCCAGTACTATTCACTTTAAGAGCCATCACGTTGTCCACTTATCTACTGAGTTCAGAAAGTCACTAGCTTGTGCAATGGGGTGAAGTTTGAATAATCTTTGTATTGGTTTTTGAATCTTCCCATGGAAGTTTAGGACTGTAATTTAATGCCTTAATTCATCATCATAGCAATGTGCACACGATGCACATATACCAATAATAGACTGATAAACTACAGTCCTAAAAGTCAATGAGAAGATTTAAACAACTAATACACAAACGAATCAAATACAACAGCTTAACTAACTCTGTTCCTAATTTCAAATTAAAAAGTAGCTACAATTTAAATTTGATCCAACTAAAAGAAAAGCAAGTATCTAAGCAATAGGAAGCACATTAAATTATTTCCATGAAACTGTCCTATATTAAAGTTGAATTCGTCAGTAATAGTAAGTCTGTAAACATTCTTGGTACTTTAAGTTCATTCAATGAAAATCGATAATAATAGTCAGAAATAGGATGGTTTCGTCCTATTTGGGACTCGACAGATAGATGTACCTGCATCTCAGATTTTATGTTCACTCTGGGACTCGAACTCAGTAACTTTCGCTTCAAACGCCATCGCGTTATCCATTCGGCCACTGAGTCGTGATTGCCACTTGCTTGTGCGATGGGGTGAATGTATTTCAGTAGAATATAGAGAAAGTAAGAACGGAAAGGGAAAAAAATTCGCATGAAAATGCAGGAACAGGGAAATCTGAGACGATTGACTGATATTTGTTAAAGGAACAGTCACGTTTGAGACGATGGATTGATATTTTGCAAATGAAGTATTTCCTGAATGATTCTCAGATTTTACTAAGACGTTCTGTAATTTTGTGTTCAAATACACTTGATTGTCCCCGCTGTTGTTTGTGTTCACTACGAATATGAGTGTTATCAATATTTCTTCATACTTTAGGCCAATTCTTGGATATGTAAATGTATGCCCAGGAAAATGAAGGTTGAATATCCTGAAAATCGAAATGCACGTGGAATTTTCATAATTGAAATAGGTCACGCTCTTGTAAGTTCATCTATTATTTTAATAAAACAAAGCGTGCTTTTCATTTCATTGGGGTCGCTGAACAATTTTATTGAAATATGTCTTGTTGTGACTTTATAAAGAATAAAGGACGTTTGACAATTCGTTATGATTCTATGTCCGGCTTTTTATCACGTGAATAATCCGCCAATGGAAATACGACTTTTCCGACCTTAACAATGACAAATCGATGACGTTCAACTGCTAAGAGCAGTCTAGCGTCCTTATTGGTCCCTTGTCCACCCAGCCCTTCCAAGTCCAGAACACCAATCACAGCTTCTGTTATGCGAATGTATGCGAATCGTTTATTTCAAGCATACTTTGATTATATACCAGACAGACAGACTGCATCACACCATAAAATAGAAAATAATATTTGTACACGATGAAGCCAAATGTGGCTGTGAGTGTGAGATACAATAATCAATAAACTGAATATAATTTAGGAACAGTGAATCGTACAGTAATAATTCATAAATCAAAATGAAGCTTATAATAAGATGAATATAGATATACACAATCTAATAATTCAATAGTTAAACCATAAGAATATATATAGAATAATAGTCCATTAATAGGTCCTGGGAGTTACACCGTACTCATTTCTCCACTAGGATATAACATATCTGATATGTTATGTATTTTTCATGAAAACAGTATGTATCTTCATGTTGGACTTTTTGGTTATGATCTCGTGACTACCTTAGACCGGCAAAAAGACAAAGTGTGGAATAACGAGACATTCCGATTAGTGGTGACTACACAGCTTACTAACCGATAAAATTCGAACAACACTAAAGGCTAAATGCACATGACATAATCAGGAGGGGTTTTGTGGAGATTTCAGTATTTTCATAGTCGAAATCATGAGTCAATTGGAGCTACACTACTATGAAAGACCTGGATACACTATACGGCCGTTTCGTTTAATTATGGGACTCTTCAACAGTGCGCATGCATGATCTCGCCTCGCGACATGACATAAGTTATTTATTAATTGATAAATTTAAGTAAACATTTTACTTGTTTTAGATTTCTATTCCAATACATTTATTGATGAATATGGACTGATGTCTAATAATGTGAGAGAAAACTTTCACATGAAGTGGTTTTTGAATCTTATTGGAAATGACCTAATTACAATCACATTAGTTATGCTATAATACACTTTATTTGTGAAATAATTAATGATTTCAACTATAACGTTACTAAAATCTAAACAAAAAACCCTCTTTGATAATAATCATATGCTCACTAGTGACTGACTTCAAGAGTTCTAGTGGGAAGCAGTGACCAAAAGAGTTCAACCAGATCTGTTGTGAGATATTAACTCACTGAAGACAAAGGTGAACGGCTGGTCTACTTCGTGGATTGCTTGAAATTAGACATAAATACCGTTGGATGCCGGCTCAGCGGTTCTAGAGGTTAAGCGCTCGTGCGCGAGAACGGTAGTTCGTGGGTTCGAATATCTCTCAAGGTGGGATCGCAGATGCGCTTTTCTGAGCCACAAAATAGTACGAGTTGGCTGTTCAGCGGTTCCAGGTTTTCAATGGTGGTCTAGCTTCAATTGACTTATGATTTCGACTACAAATTACTAAAATCTCCACAAAAAAGATTTCTTCAAATAATTACTTATGAAATTCATCAGTAAAAATGATGATTTGTCCAGTAAGTGAAAAATTACAGTGATTAGTAGTGAATTTATGAAATTTCCTTTAAGTATTGCGGTATAGTGACTAGTATAGAGAAAATTAAGTGAGGAGATCTCAACATTAGAACTCATTCCAATGGTTTAATCAAGATATCTACATGATGAATAAAAAACCAAATTCTTTTTATTGTGTTATCTAGTTATTTATCTAAAGACGTGATATGCTGACTAGTGTAGGGGATGTTTGGAAAAGAGTTAGGGGCGGTCAAACCAAAACGTGGCATCAGTGCTTGAAGTCACTAACTTCCAGTCTAAGCCATGTTGGTAGATGCAGACTATTTGGTTGGGGTCCATGTGACTATCGTAACCAATGGTTGGAAACTCTAGGTGACATGGCTCGGAATCGATCACAATGGCGTAGGTGCATACACTCTATATCTTCCCTCAAAACTTGAGATTAAAATTGCTTCATAACGTTCTTCCTTCTCATTCTATATCTTTATATACAACCTAGCTTTTATATATTACCACAACTTAATTAAGTACTTCTATGAATCCGGTGTTCACCTTGTTGTGCTAACGAGGTATGGCAACTTGGACCGATGCATATGTGTGCCTGGTCCTACGTTGAAGCTGACTGGCGGACTATTTATCTAAAGTTGATGTTAATGTTCATGATATGTGGGTGTAAAGTATGAGTAGATATATGCTAGCTCATATATACTATTCAGGTTATTTATGGTCATTATTCAATATTTTTAAAACTTATTGTACTTCAGGGATTTGCATAATACAACTTTCCTTTTATGCTTTTCCTTTTGTGC